AGCTGGTCATTTCGAGCATCTTTTGTAAAAGTAATTAAAACAGAAAATTCATTGTATCTCATAAACGAAGACAGATAGGACGTATATTGTATGACTTTTTTTCATTATTTTTAGGCGTGCAATCAGCTTCCGCAAGTCACGAAACGCCCTGTATAGTTAAGTTCTTTCTGCCTCATTTAATACACCTCTATGTGGGCATAATTAGTTGCACGAAGTACATCAAGACGGTACTCGATTTCTTACACGATCGATGTTTTTCTTAGATGTTCTCGATCGTCCATTCCTCTCTTTATCGAACACTGTCCCTGTTTTCATAAATTTCTTGTGTCATGTACGAATTGATGGACGTGACGGTGGATCTCTTCCATACTCAATTCTGAAGTTTCGCCGAGTTCGACTAATGGTGATCATATAGAGGTGTATTAAATGAGGCAAAAAAAAACTTAAATATATACGTCTCATTTTGTAATAATTTCCACTTATTTGTCTTTTCATTTGCCTTTGTAATAAATTTTTGAAATTGTAAAGATACTTTACGGACACTCTGTATATTCCACGAATTGGCGCCGAAGGAAAGTGGATGAGCGTCAGCTGTTTCACCGATACCAGCCACCAATATCGGTACCATATATGTTACATCGCTCTTGTCGCGTGTGGGAAATGTTATGTTTCACGCGGTCGCATGAGGTAAAATAGAATAGAGATAACACCAATTCCAAGAATCGGCAGAGACAGCGACAGAAAAATGTGCGAACACTGAACTGAGAGGTACCTAACTATTAATACAAGTTAAGAAATCGCGATTTTCTACGCGAGATACTTCCGCGAAAATCGTCACCAATCGTCATTTCGCTTGCTTTGGAAAATGCTTGCTTCGCAATAGCCACCAGAGTGTGGCTTTTTAAAAACCAAACGCTAATTCAGAGAATACCGCGAAAGTTTCAGTTGTCACATAGAGCGAGGGGAAGAGACGCGCCCCCCCTCCCCCCCAACCCAGTATCGGATTCCAAATTACCGGAAACCATTGTTGAATTTTCAAAGTGGTAGTAGAACCGTAGAATTGTAAGAGTGGGAACTGAACGAACGAGTCGAGCGTACTCGATCGCCGTTCTCCACTCCGGAAAAATATCTTGTCCGGATTCTGGGGACTAGTTGCAGTAACTAGCCTCTGGTGGTGGCAAACCTAACCTAAATCGGAGGCGGATCTAGAAATCGGGGCGCGCTGAAAACGTCGTTGTCTGTACGGGAAACACAAGTCGACTAAAACGAAAAAGGAAAGAAGAGAGAGAAAAAAAAATAGAAAAAAAAAACGAAACAACAACGGAGAGAAGAAGAAAGAAGGAAAAGCGTAAAAAAAGTGGGGCAATGACTCACTGATTGAGGGTCCGGTCGTTGCTGCCGGTGGTCGCAGAGCCCTGAACACCGGAAGCGGCGGCAGCGGCAGAGCCCGAATCGTGATGCCTTCTCTCCTTGTGGACAATGCCCATTAATTTCATCCATGGATTGTTGGCCGCATGGGCGCCCATGCCGCCGCTTTGCCACATTGCGCTCGCCAGTCTCGCTCCTTTCTAAGGAGCCCTTCCTGGGCTCCGCACGACGCTCCACTAGCTTCGCCGAAACCACTTCTCTCCAGCACCACTTATCCTGCCCCCTCGTCACCTTGTTCTCCTTGTTCTCCTCGCAGCAGCGACAACAGCAACAGCGACAAACTTTCTCGATCCGAGCCGATTCGCCACCGCCGCGATTCCGCGCAAAGTTCCAGCGTTCCGCGTGCTCGTTCCCGCCGCCGACGATGATGACGATGACGATGACGACGACGACGACGACGACGACGGCACTCGCGTTGGCCCCGCGCGTCGACACCACGATCCCCAGGGGCCTCCTGCTCTCCGAAGAGCCGAAGAGCTTCTCGTCGATGGCCGGTAACTGGTCGGTAGATGGCTGATGGCCAGCCGCCAGCCGCAGCGAGCAACTATCAGCGTGCTGCCTTCCAGAGATCAGCGCGTGGCCATCCGCCGTGAGAACGCAGGAAACGTGAAAGTGACAGAGACGGGGCCGCTGGTGAGACGATCGCGATTGCAATCGCGTGACGAGGACGCGGTTCGCTGGGCTGCCTGGCCCGCACAGGTAGGTGCGAGGTGCCTCGATCGGCCCCGTAGGCTCCCTAGCCCGCCTCTCCGGCACCTCCACCATCTAATCCTTAGTTTCTTCACAAGGCTCTTTCCGCCCCGCACCGACTTTCCTCCATTCGCGTACCACCGAAACTTCCTCGCACTTGCCCCGCGACACCGCGCCGATTCTTCTTCCCTTCTTCCACTCCGCCGCCGGTCACGCTCTCTTCTGCTCCTCTTCTTACTCTTCTGCTCTTCGGCCCACCCTCTTCCCACCGACGATCCCTTCCTCCCACCTTTTCTCCTCTTTTTCCACTTGCTCGCCCACCGCTTCCGCTCGTAGCCCCTTCCGTGCCGCCTCCCTTCCTTTTGCAAGCCTGCGTCTCCTCGTGACTCCGTGACGCCACGCGTTTCTTTCGCCTCGTGCCCCTGGTTGTCTCACCTGCCGACAGAAAGTTAGCGCTCTTTAGAATTGGTATTTTCTTTTTGTTTTTTTTTTTTTTTTTTTTTTTTTTTTTTTTTTTTTTTTTTT